TCAGGTCTTCTGAAAGAGCAGTCAGTACTCTTAACAGCTGAACCATCTCCCCAGCCCTAATGTCTGAACTTTTAAAGTCTGCGGAACTTTCAAATTTTGGAATCTCTTATACTGTGATATTGGTATTAATGTATGGTCCTGGGAGATGTATAAGAAATTGAGGTCATAAGACTTGTTTTCTTGGAGTGCTCTCACAAGCATGAAGAATTCTCCTCAAAGGACTCCATTTCTGGACGGTGTCCCAACAGTTGTCTTTTGAGTAACTTTTGCTAATCTACCCTTTGACCTATTATGATAGGCACCTTGTTACACACGGTCATCTAACTTGCATTTACAATTTTATAACTGCCTATTTTGTAATTATTTCTTTAAAGTCCGTCTCATTGTGGACAACATGTTAATACCAGCATCACTCCCACTGCAGGGCAGTGTTCCACAGACACTGGGTGAATGAATTTCCCTTCTAGAAAGCCTGACACCTTAAGCATCTGTGCTCTCAATCTCAGTCTCTAGTCAGGACACAAAGTTAGACTGTGTCATTATATTCACAGTTATTGGTGTGTTTTCATGCAATAACATAAAGAAGATACTCATACAAGTATACTCTTCTGAGTTTTTATTTTTTTAGAATACCTACATTTAGGTCCTCTTTTCCATTTCTAATACTATTTATTCTTTCCCATATATACACATAGATATAGAGATAAAAAGAAAGACACACACAAACTAACACACACAGAGAAGGAGTTGTTTATCAATTGTTTGAGGAACATTTTTCAATTTTCAGTCTTTCAAAGGATCATCTTCTGCTTTGTTGATGTTGATTTCTACATGTCTCTCTCTGTCTGTCTGTCTCTGTCTCTCCCTCATTTTTAAGGATAGGATCTCACTATGTATATAACACTGGCTTTAAATTAATAATTCTCTTGCCTACTGTTTCATAGTCTTAGGATTACAGACATGAGCCTTTTGTTTTTCTAATATTTCAATCATTCTTTCCATCTTTGGATTTACTTTGTCTCATTATTCATTCATTTTAGGTTGAATGCTTACCTCACAAATTGCCAATCTTCATTTATTTCTTACATCAATTATGAGTTTATAATCTCATCTACTATGTACATATTCAAATTGATCACACAAATGTAAAAGTATTTACCAATTTCTGTAAACATTTTTTGATTTGGGCCTCATTTAAGGTATGATTCTTAGGTTCCAGATGTATGGATTTTTTTGCTCTATTTCTAGACTCCCAAATTTTTCCATCTGCGATAAAAAAAATATACAATACAACTTTATTCATCAATGTTAAGGGTTTCTATATGGTGCATATTTTTATTAGTGGAATTAACATCAAATTCTACATATGTCCATTTGAACCAGCTAATCACCTGTGTAATTTATTTTTCTTTATCCTTTCAAATGCTTTAGTGTGTTTATCTGTGTTGGTGACAAAAAATATTTCAGATTCTCAGAGTATGGCTATTTGTATTCTCTATCCTTTGTGATTCTCTCAATTTTCACTTCATGGACTTCTGAAAGGGTACTACCAAGTAGTGTAGATTCAAAACCAACAGACATTCCCTATGGGTTGTTCTTTCATCGTTAAATATTACCTCTATCTGAAATGATGATTCTGTTTTGAAGCATATTTTGTCTGACATTAATTAATTTATTTGAAGTGATTTGTGTGATATGTCAATTTCCATCTGTTTCCCATGTCATTATCCTTAGTAGGGAAGTCCCTTACAGAGACTTTATAGGAAAATATAGCTGCACCCTATCCAAGTTAAAAATCTTCATCAAGAAATATTTTTAAATTTTAATTTTTACTAATTTCTGATTATGTGTAAGTACGTTTGTGTATGGGTGCCTGTAGGAGCCAGAAGAGAGTTTCAGATAGCCTGGAGCTGCTGTTATAAGAAGTTGTTGGCTATCTGACACTGATGCTGGGAACTGAAGCCCAGTCCTCTTAACCACTGGGCCATCTCTACAGCTACTAAATCTTTATCCCTAATAAAGAAGTTTAATCTATTTTATATTTCGTCCTACCAGTGGCAAACTGTACCTTAATATCAACCACTTTAATTAATACACAGTCTTCCAAAATTTAAGGTTTTTTTTCCTCTAAGCATATAAAGTTCAGCACACCCTGACAAATATCCCTGTATTGATCCTTGACTTAGAATTTATCTATTGTAATTGGTAGGTTAAACATAACCAAAGATTATGCTCTCTTAAATCAATAGTAAAATTTTATGCAAATAACAACAGTTCCCAATTAAGGGTAGCCTGTCTACTGTAGTGGGTAGCTATTCCAGCTTTGACCTGGAAGTACTATCGTAATTGCCATACCTACCTATGACCTGCCCCTGGGGCGGGGCCGAGACAGGAGCCCTTAAGACCTCAGATCCAGATGTGCCGGCTCTCTAGGTTCCTGGTGATCCTGGATGCTGGAATATATACCAAGTCAGAGTTCTCCAGAGAACCCTGCTAGACTGCACCTCACCTTTCCAAGATCCTGTAACCAACCACTTTACTGGGTGTAAGTTACCACAAAATAAACCTTTTTTTTTTTAACTATGTGGAGTTGCCTTGATAAATCCCTCAATATCTGGTGCCCAACATGGGGGATGAACCCATGACCTTGGGATGAAGAGTCTCGTGCTCTACCAACTGAGCTAGCTGGGCCCACTTTAGCTATTTAGGTTAAAGTAACTGAATGCACTTCTCATGTGCCTCTGCTGATATACCTGCCACTTCTCTCAGCATTGTTCTTTCTCTTTCAGTGTGTGGGGATAATGTGCACATGAGCCCAGATGCCTGCAGAGGGCAGGAGTGCCAGGTTCCCCTGGAGCTGCAGTTACAGGCAGTCAGGAGTTGACTGGCATGGTTGCTGGGAACTGAACTCAGATCCTCTGTAAGATTAGCACTGAGCTGTCTCTTCAGCCTCATCATTGTTACTGTTATTATTAAAACCTGGAATCACACAACTCATGGACATACAACCAAAGAATGTTCAATCATACCATAAGAACACTTGCTCAACTATGTTCATAGCAGCATTATTCTATTTATAATAGCCAGAACCTGGAAACAATCTAGATGCCCCTCAATTGAAGAATGGATAAAGAAAATGTGGTACATTTACACAATGGAGTATTACTCAGCAGTAAAAATAAAAACTAATGATATCATGAAATTTTCAGGCAAACAGATGGAAGTAGAAAAAAAAATCATCCTGAGTGAGGTAACTCAGACCCAGAAAGACAAACATAGTATGTACTCACTCATAAGTGAATATTAGATATAAAGTAAAGGATAACTAGGCTACAATCCACAGCCCCAGAGAAGCTAGGTAACAAGGTGAACCCTAAGAGCAACTCATGAATCACCTTGGGAAGGGGAAATAGATGAGTCTTCCTGGGTAAACTGGGGGTGAGGGGGGTATAGGGGAAAGGATGGGGGATGAGAACATCAGGATGGTTGAGTTGGGGGAGGGACAGAGAGGGAAAGCAATGAAAGAGACGTCTTGATAAAGGGGGCCATTATGGGGTTAGGGAGAAATCTGGTGCCAAGGAAACTCTCAGGAATCCACAGGATGACCCCAGCTAAGAGTCCTAACAATAGTGGAGAGGGTGCCTGAACTGGCCTTCTCCTGTAATCAGATTGGTGACTACCCTAATTGTCATCACAGGATTTTCATCCAGTAGCTGATGGAAGTAGATGCAGAGATCCACAACCAAGCACTGGACCAAGCTCCAGGAGTTCAGTTGAAGAGAGGGAGGAGGGATTATATGAGAAAGGGGGGTCAAGAGTATGACAGGGAAATCCAGAGACAGCTGATCTGAGCTTGTGAGAGCTCACAGACTCTAGACCAACAGCTAGGGAGCCTGCATGGGACCAATTTAGACCCTGTTGCTTGTGAGTGATAGTTGTGTAGCTTTTGTGTAGTCTGTTTGTGGGACCCTTAGCAATTGGGTCCAGGACCTGTCTCTGGTGCATGAGCTGGCTTTTGGAATGTATTCCTATAGTGGTATGTCTCATTCAGCCTTGATGCAGTGGGGAGGAGCTCAGTCCTGTCCCAACTTGATATGCCATGCTTTGTTGACTCCCATGGGAGACCTTATCCTTACTGTATGGAGATGGAGGAGTGGATGGATGGGGGGAGGGGTACAAGAGAGGCAGGGGAGGGAATGGGATGAGAGGAGGGAGGGGAAACTGTGGTTGATATGTAAAATAAATTTAAAATTTTAATTTAAAAAAAATCCTGAAATCATCATTGCTTTATTACACATCCCTTCCTGCATCCAAGCCTCTCGTCTCCTCTCCAGGGCATCTCCTGACTCTCTCCTCTCGTCTCCTCTCCAGGGCATCTCCTGACTCTCTCCTCTCTGTTCCCATCTTAGCTCCTCTCACTGTAACTCACCCTGAGATCAAATGAAGGAAAGCCTCGTGCTTCAAGAAGTCAGAACTTCACCTATACAGTGTTTCTCAAACTAAAATCCCCAGACAGAAATTGACATCTCCAAAGAGTATGTGAGAATCTCTTCTAGAAGGTTTTTTTAAATCCCCACTGATGTTTGGAAAAATCTAGATGCCAGCCTGACAGTTGAGCCGTGCTTCCAATGGCCACATCTGGCTTCGTCTTTCTTTTTATCCTATCAATTATCTTCCATTCTCAGTGTAACTGGCACCAAATGGTCACATAAAGTGACAGCTTATGACTTTCTACATGTCACTGTGCACATCTGGCCACTCAATTGTTATCACAAATGTCCCCCATATGCTATATTGCTCTTTAGTGGGGGTGATTTGTAACTGAATGATATTGCCTGGAATAAGGTTCTAATTAATCAAGTTATTTAATTAATGAAGACTTTGATATGACATTCTAAATAAGAATATGGCAAAGTAATGGTGTATTTTAATTGTCATGGGCTAATGAGGAAAGCACAAAGAATTAATATGCAAATTATGTGTTTTTATCAAACGAAAAGCCAGATGCCATTCTGAGACACCGTACAGAAGAAGCATGTTTCCAGACCTTTCGGGCACAGCCAGGTGATGAGAGACAACCACAAAGGGACGCCAGGTGCAAGACCTTAGCCACAGCCATCGGGACACTCGATACAGCCAACAATCAATCATCAAGCTAAATGCTCCAACAGTAAACACTGATGGGAAACAGTGTCCCAGGCCCTAAAGAGAAGGAGATAAACAAGACAGCCAAAATCCCTACTTTTGTGGAAATTATACTAAGACAATAATCAGATGAATGAGAATTTATGATATGCTGTTAGGGAGTGCCCTGCCCCGTAAAGAAAATCAAAGCAGGTTAAAGAGACAGAGAATGCTAAGGGAAGAGGACCACTATGGTAGGAATGGTAGGAAAGACAGATTTTTCTCAGGGGATAATGGCTGAGCTAAACCCCGAGTATGATGGAGGCAAAGACACAAATAGAGGGAAAGACAGACAGAAGCAGCAGCAAATACAAAGACGTTGATAGCGGAGCACGTGTGGCCTCTCTGCAGAACAGCAAGAGAGCAGGAGAGCAGCATGTGATGCAGCGATGGAGAGAAAGGTCAAATCTTGAAGGATGTGAAACGGGGCCGAGAGACTGGACCCCACCTGTGGATGCTACAGATCTACCACCATGCTTTACCCATTGTGCAGAGGACCAGTGAGAGAGGCTGGTGGTGGTTACGAAGACAGGCAGCCTTGGAGATTGATTGGCTGGGGGAGATGAGGTGGTTGTCTCTGCTTGCTTTTATTTCCCCATAGTAATCTAAATGAGGGGATCAGCTTAGTGGGAGAACTGGGATGGGAGCTGGGGGTGGACGTAAGTGAAGGTCTTCAACAGTTGTCTCAGAGAGTGGAAGTGTTGCTTACTTTTGCTGGGATCCAAGAGTCCCTTCCCCACTTAAGAGTGACTTTCTATCTCTAACAAATTGAGTAACTTCCAAAATTTTCCCTGAATATCATGTTTCTTGCTTTTGTGTATGAGAGAATATGAAGATGTGTTATTTGGTATTCGAGATGAGGCAAAAAGTATTTTAATTAATTACGCTGTAAGTCTGCAATTGTGCTTCAACAAAGTAGTAAAATGCTGTGGACAAGCTTTTCTCCCATACCCACCTAACAACACACAGGCATCAAGAATGGTGTCCTTACTTACCATGTTCCTTAGAGCTTGACCCCAAAATCACAAGCCACCCTGTCTACCTGCAAGCATTCTCCAGTCTGGCCCAAGACCACTTGCACCATTCAGGCAGTGGGCAGGTCACAGGCAGGCAGTATGTGGGTATTGCTTGACATTTCATCACACAAAAAGACACAGGAAACATTTGGATCAGTTTTCTCTTAGTATGTCTAAATTCTGTATTATTGCAAACAAAGTGCTCTCCACTCCAAACAAGGGGCAAAGTCACTATTTTAATGGATCCTAAAGTACCAAATGAAGAAAGAGCCTCTGTGGATTTAATCAGCATGCTGCTACCATTAGCCAGGTTCCCTGGAATACAGGGATCAAGTTCTTGTGGACCTTCAGGTATATTAGAGTCCTAACCCAGACAGGTAGATGCCCAGAATCCATCCTAGCCCCACATCCTTCTAGATCTTCACAGTGAATTCTTCCAAGACACAGTAGATGTTAACCTTGCACCTCAAATGTAAGACCTGGCAATTGTCACAGGAAAGGCTCATGAACCAAAGAGACCGTAGAAGCTGAGAAGCGGCAGGGCAGAGCCTACCCCAGCCCAATGGAGGGTTCTCTGAGGTTCAGGACGCAGATTTCTGCTCCTCCTGGGTGATGATTCACATATTTGCTAATCCTTAGCTCCTGATAACTAAGAAGCCATTGTTTATTCTTCCTATTGTTCCCAGGACTTGAATCAGCATGAAAACCAAACTGTATCCTGGTGCTAGGCACTAAGACTAGTTAACTCTTCCAGCTTTTGACTCCTGCCAGGAAATAGGACTCCCAGGAGATGGAATGGAGAGGTTGCTTAAAACTAAACTCAGGAAAAGTCAGAAAAACAAGCTTGGGAACGGAATGATTTCCACCACCTCTGTCTGCCTGCAAGCCCCCTCTGGTGGAGGAACTCATCGGTAATGAAATAGCTACAATAATTTTTTTAAAGACAATTCTTTGCTGTAGAACTGAGAATTGAATGGAGCTGGGACTTGAGAAGCACCTACAGATGAAACAACAGGATGAGCGATTTTCCAAAAGGTCAGCACTGTTCCTTCATCTCCACCCCATCCATCTCCATCGCCCTCAACTTGTCTGAGACCTAACAGAAATTCAGCCATAAAACAATCACCATAAAAATTAACCTCATTTTGAAACATTAAAAATATCCATATCTGAAGCACAGGGCAGCTTCTCCATTCGGCTCCCTATACATGTGAGGAAAAGTGTGGACATTTAAAACCCTTTTATAAGGTGAGCTAATATACTCAGCAAGTTTCAAACCTTCTGTTCTGAGCATGTCTCTGTAAAGACACTGTTGGTTCTCAAGCAAAACCAGGAGCAATTAATCCCATCTCTAAAGCACACTGGGTAGCAGGAAGAGGTGTCCACATCAGTCTTTTGCCTTTGCTCTACTGGAAGCTGAAATCTGCCATCTCTGCTTTCAGCTAGAGTGGATGCCAAGCATTCAATTCTGACATGCCTATCCCACATCCTGACAGATGAGCTAGGAGACACACTACCTCCCTGCTTCCCTTGACGATCTGTGTAGAGTAAGAAACTCAATGCCAAGTGAAACTATGTTTCCAAACAGAAAGGATTATGAAAGTTAACACGTCTGGAAAGTTCTCCATCCCTTAACTAAACATCCAAAAGGTATTACTTTAGTTCCTGATTCCTTAAAAAAAAAAAAGGTAACTTTCCTTCCCTCTATCTCTGAATTTTTTTTAAATCTCATTTGTATTTACCTTTTAAAGTAGAATATGACCAAGCACTATAGTTCCATTCAGACTTAATGGGTTACAAGACCTAAGGAAGTGTAGGGTTTTATTCTCAGTACTTTGGAAAACAAGACACATGGGGAATTCTTCTGTTTTAGCTTGTGTTCTTCTAAGACTACAACATGCAGAATAACTACAGGGGATGAAAATTTTAAGATGAAACTTAAGCCATCTTAATTTTTTTCCTTTTAAACATGAAGCTAAATCTCAGAATACTCCCAAGTGACAAATTATTTGGTCTACTAAGGAATCCAGCTTCTGAACAGCTAAACACTTCAGACCACAAAGTTAATAGGTTACATTACGTCTTACAACAAATGTTCTACCAACCTGTTGAATTAAACCTATAGTATCACAGTATCACAAGTAGAAAGAAATTTTATCTTCCCCTTAGTTTACATGCCAAACAGATGTTTTAAGTGTTAACAAAAATAAACAAAAATCCTGGAAAATATATTATCAGAGAAGGAATGAAGGTAAGATCAAACAAAGTTCTGGTGAAGTTTAGTCTACTTCTTCCATGCGCGATGTGTCGTCATCTCCTTCCAGGGGTGGCATCTTCAGTTACAGCAGCACTGGTATCATCCACAGTAGGATCATCTTCATCAATACCTAGACCAAGCTTGATCATCCTGTAGATCCTGTTAGCATGTGTCTGGGGATCTTCCAGACTAAAGCCAGAAGACAGGAGTGCAGTTTCATACAGCAAGATGACCAGATCCTTCACAGACTTGTCATTCTTGTCAGCCTCCGCCTTTTGCCGTAGGGTTTCAATAATGGAGTGATCAGGGTTTATCTCCAGGTGCTTCTTTGCTGCCATGTAACCCATTGTTGAGTTGTCTCTGAGGGCTTGAGCTTTCATGATTCTTTCCATGTTTGCTGCCCACCTGTATGTGCTCGTGACAATACAGCATGTCACCAATCGGTTTGATACAACCACCTTTTCAACCTTTTTCTCCAAAATATCTTTCATAATTTTGCAGAGGTTTTCAAATTTTGTCTTTTTCTCTTCTTGTTTCTTTTTCTCCTCTTCATCTTCTGGGAGTTCCAGTCCTTCTTTGGTAACTGACACCAAGGTCTTACCCCCAAATTCCTTCAGCTGTTGCACACAATACACATCAATGGGCTCAATCATATAGATTACTTCTAAGCCATGCTTTTGGAGACATTCCACAAAGGACGAGTTAGCAGCTTGGTCCTTGGTCTCACCTGTGATAAAGTAGATGTGCTTCTGGTTTTCCTTCATTCTGGTGCAATAGTCCTTGAGAGAAACCATCTCATCTCCAGAAGCAGATGTGTAGTACCGCAACAGCTCTGAAAGCTTCTTCCGATTTTGAGAGTCTTCATGAATTCCAAGCTTTATATTTTTTGAGAACTGCTCATAAAACTTTTTGTAGTTTTCTTTATCTTCTGCCAGTTCAGTAAATAGTTCTAAACATTTCTTGACCAAATTCTTTCTGATAACTTTCAAAATTTTGCTTTGCTGCAACATTTCACGGGAAATATTTAGAGGAAGATCCTCGGAATCCACCACTCCTCTAATGAAATTCAGATACTCAGGGATTAACTCCTCACAGTTATCCATGATGAAAACTCTGTGCACATACAACTTCATGTTGTTCTTTTTCTTTCTGTTTTCAAACAGATCAAAAGGAGCACGTCTTGGAACAAAAAGAAGGGCCCAGAATTCCAATTGTCCTTCAACAGAAAAATGCTTCACTGCCAAATGTTCTTCCCAATGGTTGGTTAAGCTCTTGTAAAATTCTCCATATTCTTCATTAGTAATGTCATCAGGATTTCTGGTCCAAATAGGCTTTGTTTTGTTGAGTTCTTCTTGATCAATGTACTTTTATCTTCTTCTTGTCACCATCTTTCTTTTCTTCTTCTTCATGAGAACCAACATCTTCTATTTCAGGCTTGTTCTCCGACTCCTTTTCTTCTTTTTCTTTTTCTTCCTCTTTATCTTCTTTTTCTTCAGTTTCATCATCACTGACTTCCTTATCACGTTCCTCTCCATGAAGAGAGTAATGGGATAGCCAATAAACTGAGAACGTTTCTTCACAATCTCCTTTATTCTCCATTCCTCCAAATACTCGGTTTGGTCTTCTTTCAGGTGTAAGATAACCTTTGTTCCACGGCCCATTGGTTCACTTGTGTCAGTCCTCACTGTGAATGAGCCCCCTTCTGAGGATTCCCAGGCATACTGCTCATCATCATTATGTTTGGTGATCACAGTCACTTTCTCAGCAACCAAATATGCAGAGTAAAAAACAACACCAAACTGGCCAATCATAGAGATATCTGCACCAGCCTGCAAAGCCTCCATAAAGGCTTTGGTACCAGACTTGGCAATAGTACCAAGGTTATTGATCAGGTCAGCCTTGGTCATTCCAATTCCTGTATCCACAATAGTAAGGGTTCGATCTTGTTTGTTGGGAATAAGATTATTGTGCAGCTCCTTCCCAGAGTCTAGTTTACTAGGGTCCGTCAGACTCTCATATCTGATTTTGTCCAGAGCATCTGATGAATTTGAAATCAGCTCCCTCAGAAAGATCTCTTTGTTTGAATAGAAAGTATTGATGATCAAGGACATCAACTGGGCAATTTCTGCCTGAAAGGCGAAAGTCTCGACCTCCTCCTCCTCCATGGGTTGGTCTTGGGTCTGGGTTTCCTCAGGCATCTTTGCGGAGTGACCATGCACAGGACGTGACCGGCTGCAACACCACACTGAAGCAACTCTCTATCTCTGAATTTATCAACTGCTTCTCTGGTTTTACCAAATCAATAAGATGTTTTGCATCTTTTAGATATAATCCACGTTCTTGGGTTATGAAAAACCCTTTTCTCAGGACTTTGCCTGTAGAGTCCCTGAACAGCTGTTTATTTACTCACACTATTTATTTACCCACACTATTGTTGCTTGCAGATGTTTTTAAGAGTCAAAATGAAAAGGGAAAAGGCAAAAGAGGTCAGAGAAAAGATGAATCTATAATCGTATTCAATGTATTTAATACAATAAAACCTGGAGATCCTGTCAAGTGTGAGAGAATTGTTTCAATTAATTTTAATGTAGTTATAAGGTAGAAGATTATGCAGCCATTAAGAACTATTTAATGCTGGTGTGTTTTAATAATATGAAGAGCTATCTGCAATATCATTAAAGGAAAGGAGATCAGAACAGGAGACACCTCGGTGCTCTAAGGGGCAGACACTGGGCTTGCTGGACTAACAGGGTAGGGA